AGTTCAAGGCATATCCTACACAATTAAGAAAAGTAGCAGGGCTGAGATGGGAAGGATGGGTGAGAATGTTGAAAGGGGTGCCATTGATTGAGATGCATTGTAGTCATAAACTGCTTTGTTGAATGGCAACTCCCTTATACAACTACTTAAAGACAATATATATGTACACATATATATGTATGTATGTATATGTATGTATGTGCATATATATGCATATATATACATAAACACATATATGCATACATACATGTGTACACACACACATATATATATTATATACATGATATATATATACACACATACATAAAGTTTACTGAGCCAGGAACAGAGGAGCAACGTGATTGAATGCTAAACAAAGGAGCTCCATGCTGCTCTTGGTGCTGCTGAACCCATATGGAGACAGGCTTGTAGGGGATTAGCAGGGATTTTGCTGATTTACTATCTCTCTTTTGTGGGCCTTTTTGACTAATTGTCTCTTTTTTGGACTATGGTTTGAATTCCATGCTCACAGACACATCTTGAGAGCTTGGTTTTCACATTTGCATTCCACCTGGCCCATTTTTGTGAGCTTTGTCTGCTTCTATACGCCACCTGGCTTATTTTGCTTCCTAGGCTCACCTCCACGTTCCGCAAGCCCATTTTTTCTTCACAGATCAAGTAAGAAGGAAGTGGTAAAAGAAACAGAAGCAGTGATCCCCAAAGAAGGAGAAAATTAGTGAGTTTTCTGTAGGAGGACAGGGTCAATAATAATGATTTTACAAAGATAGCCAGGAAAAAGAAGATGGGAAGAGATTTAGCAGGAATAAGATTACTAGAAAAGGATGGCCCATGAAATTTTGAAGGAAAAACAAGATCAAGACTGAGCAGTGAATATGTGGGAAATTAGTGGACATGAAAGTTTAGTCATGGAAAGACAGGGAATGGCAGGTGGAAGATAGCTTGTTTGGTTTTGTTATTTTTTTTTTAATTTTTTTTTGGTCCGGTTGTGGGGCCTGAGCACTGTCCCTCAGCTCTTCAGCTCAAGACTAGCACTCTACCACTTGAGCCACAGCACCACTTCCGGCTTTTTTTTT